TGATGGAAGAGTCAGTCTAGAGCCCTGATGGAAGAGTCAGTCTAGAGCCCTGATGGAAGAGTCATTCTAGAGCCCTGATGGAAGAGTCCAGTCTAGAGCCCTGATGGAAGAGTCAGTCTAGAGCCCTGATGGAAGAGTCAGTCTAGAGCCCTGATGGAAGAGTCAGTCTAGAGCCCTGATGGAAGAGTCAGTCTAGAGCCCTGATGGAAGAGTCAGTCTAGAGCCCTGATGGAAGAGTCAGTCTAGAGCCCTGATGGAAGAGTCCGTCTAGAGCCCTGATGGAAGAGTCCGTCTAGAGCCCTGATGGAAGAGTCAGTCTAGAGCCCTGATGGAAGAGTCAGTCTAGAGCCCTGATGGAAGAGTCAGTCTAGAGCCGTAATGGAAGAGTCAGTCTAGAGCCCTGATGGAAGAGTCAGTCTAGAGCCCTGATGGAAGAGTCAGTCTAGAGCCCTGATGGAAGAGTCAGTCTAGAGCCGTAATGGAAGAGTCAGTCTAGAGCCCTGATGGAAGAGTCAGTCTAGAGCCCTGATGGAAGAGTCAGTCTAGAGCCCTGATGGAAGAGTCAGTCTAGAGCCCTGATGGAAGAGTCAGTCTAGAGCCCTGATGGAAGAGTCAGTCTAGAGCCCTGATGGAAGAGTCAGTCTAGAGCCCTGATGGAAGAGTCAGTCTAGAGCCCTATGGAAGAGTCAGTCTAGAGCCCTGATGGAAGAGTCAGTCTAGAGCCCTGATGGAAGAGTCAGTCTAGAGCCCTGATGGAAGAGTCAGTCTAGAGCCCTAATGGAAGAGTCAGTCTAGAGCCGTAATGGAAGAGTCAGTCTAGAGCCCTAATGGAAGAGTCAGTCTAGAGCCCTGATGGAAGAGTCAGTCTAGAGCCCTGATGGAAGAGTCAGTCTAGAGCCCTGATGGAAGAGTCAGTCTAGAGCCCTGATGGAAGAGTCAGTCTAGAGCCCTAATGGAAGAGTCAGTCTAGAGCTGTAATGGAAGAGTCAGTCTAGAGCCCTAATGGAAGAGTCAGTCTAGAGCCCTAATGGAAGAGTCAGTCTAGAGCCCTAATGGAAGAGTCAGTCTAGAGCCCTAATGGAAGAGTCAGTCTAGAGCCCTGATGGAAGAGTCAGTCTAGAGCCCTGATGGAAGAGTCAGTCTAGAGCCCTGATGGAAGAGTCAGTCTAGAGCCCTGATGGAAGAGTCAGTCTAGAGCCCTGATGGAAGAGTCCGTCTAGAGCCCTGATGGAAGAGTCCGTCTAGAGCCCTGATGGAAGAGTCAGTCTAGAGCCCTGATGGAAGAGTCAGTCTAGAGCCCTGATGGAAGAGTCAGTCTAGAGCCCTGATGGAAGAGTCAGTCTAGAGCCCTGATGGAAGAGTCAGTCTAGAGCCCTAATGGAAGAGTCAGTCTAGAGCCCTGATGGAAGAGTCAGTCTAGAGCCCTGATGGAAGAGTCAGTCTAGAGCCCTGATGGAAGAGTCAGTCTAGAGCCCTGATGGAAGAGTCAGTCTAGAGCCCTAATGGAAGAGTCAGTCTAGAGCCCTAATGGAAGAGTCAGTCTAGAGCCCTGATGGAAGAGTCAGTCTAGAGCCCTAATGGAAGAGTCAGTCTAGAGCCCTGATGGAAGAGTCAGTCTAGAGCCCTGATGGAAGAGTCAGTCTAGAGCCCTGATGGAAGAGTCAGTCTAGAGCCCTGATGGAAGAGTCAGTCTAGAGCCCTGATGGAAGAGTCAGTCTAGAGCCCTGATGGAAGAGTCAGTCTAGAGCCCTAATGGAAGAGTCAGTCTAGAGCCCTGATGGAAGAGTCAGTCTAGAGCCCTAATGGAAGAGTCAGTCTAGAGCCCTGATGGAAGAGTCAGTCTAGAGCCCTGATGGAAGAGTCAGTCTAGAGCCCTAATGGAAGAGTCAGTCTAGAGCCCTGATGGAAGAGTCAGTCTAGAGCCCTGATGGAAGAGTCAGTCTAGAGCCCTAATGGAAGAGTCAGTCTAGAGCCCTGATGGAAGAGTCAGTCTAGAGCCCTGATGGAAGAGTCAGTCTAGAGCCCTAATGGAAGAGTCAGTCTAGAGCCCTAATGGAAGAGTCAGTCTAGAGCCCTGATGGAAGAGTCAGTCTAGAGCCCTGATGGAAGAGTCAGTCTAGAGCCCTGATGGAAGAGTCAGTCTAGATTCCTTTTACATTTTAGTCATTTATCAGACGCTCTTATCCAGAGCGACTTACAGTTAGTGAGTGCATACATTTTCATACTGGCCCCCCGTGGGAAACGAACCAAAAACCCTGGCGTTGCAAGCGCCATGCTCTACCCACTGAGCTACAGGGGACCTGTACACACACACTGAAACGCACACACAGTCAGATCCGTCTGATTGAAGTTTGGATGTTTTTTGTTTTTAACACTGTGTGTGTTTAGGATCCAGAAGATTCCTCGTCTCCTGGTCGCAGCAGCTGATGGATATCTGTACCTCTATAACCTGGACCCACAGGAGGGAGGAGAGTGCTCACTGATGAAACAACACAGGTAACACACTGATGAAACAACACAGGTAGCTCACTGATGAAACAACACAGGTAGCACACTGATGAAACAACACAGGTAGCACACTGATGAAACAACACAGGTAGCACACTGATGAAACAACACAGGTAACACACTGATGAAACAACACAGGTAACACACTGATGAAACAACACAGGTAATACACTGATGAAACAACACAGGTAACACACTGATGAAACAACACAGGTAACACACTGATGAAACAACACAGGTAACACACTGATGAAACAACACAGGTAGCACACTGATGAAACAACACAGGTAACACACTGATGAAAAACACAGGTAGCACACTGATGAAACAACACAGGTAACACACTGATGAAACAACACAGGTAGCACACTGATGAAACAACACAGGTAACACACCGATGAAACAACACAGGTAGCACACTGATGAAACAACACAGGTAACACACTGATGAAAAACACAGGTAGCACACTGATGAAACAACACAGGTAACACACTGATGAAACAACACAGGTAGCACACTGATGAAACAACACAGGTAGCACACCGATGAAACAACACAGGTAGCACACTGATGAAACAACACAGGTAGCACACTGATGAAACAACACAGGTAGCTCACTGATGAAAACAACACAGGTAGCACACACACTGTAAGGAAGCTTTTCTTATCTGTATTGGTCCTGTTCTGTGTGGCTCAGTTGTTCGTGCATAGCGCTTAGCGATAGCAGGGTCTGTGGGATCGACTCCATATGTACTCACTGTAAGTAGCTTTGGGATAAAAGCGTCTGTTAAACGGCAGTTTATTTAAATATCATCGTTCTGTGTTCCTCAGGTTAGACGGCGGTGCTGAGCCGCCCAATGAGATCCTGGAACAGGGGTCACATGACCGACCCCTTACCACACAGACCTACAACACTGCTGGGATGAAAGGTACGTTAGTCAAATTTGGCGCCGGACAAGTGACCCGGGAAGATTTGTAATTTCGGCCATTTTAAGAAATGTGCCAGTCAGCCATATGCATTGGGTGGGTAACCCATTAGGCCATCCACCCATCCACGCAGACTTCAGTCCGGCTTTTGACATTATCGATCATAGTCTGCTGCTGGGAAAACCTATGTGTTATGGCTTTACACCCCCTGCTATATTGTGGATAAAGAGTTACCTGTCTAACAGGACACAGAGGGTGTTCTTTAATGGGAGCCTCTCCAACATAATCCAGGTAGAATCAGGAATTCCCCAGGGCAGCTGTCTAGGCCCCTTACTTTTTAAAATCTTTACTAACGACATGCCCCTGGCTTTGAGTAAAGCCAGTGTGTCTATGTATGCGGATGACTCAACACTATACACGTCAGCTACTACAGCGACTGAAATGACTTCCCAAATGCCAAGAGTGTGCAAAGCTGTCATCAAGGCAAAGGGTGGCTATTTGAAGATTCTCAGATATAAAATATACTTTGATTTGTTTAACACTTTTTTTGGTTACTACATGATTCCATATGTGTTATTTATATTCTTCACTATTATTCTACAATGTAAAAATAAAGAAAAACTCTGAAATGAGGAGGTGTGTCCAAACTTTTGACTGGTTGTGTGTGTGTGTACACACTACCGTTCAAAGGTTTGGGGTCACTTAGAAATGTCCTTGTTTTCGAAAGAAAAGCAATTTTTTTGTCCATTAAAATAACATCAAATTGATCAGAAATAGAGTGTAGACATTGTTAATGTTGTAAATGGCTATTGTAGCTGGAAACGGCTCATTTCTCTGGTTAGAGCCAGTAGTACTGTAGCAGCGGTAGTATAAGCAGTAGTACTGTAGTAGCAGTAGTAGTACTGTAGTAGCAGCAGTAGTACTGTAGTAGCAGCAGTAGTACTGTAGCAGCAGTAGTAGTACTGTAGCAGCAGCAGTAGTACTGTAGCAGCAGCAGTAGTACTGTAGTAGTAGTACTGTAGTAGCAGTAGTAGTACTGTAGTAGCAGTAGTAGTACTGTAGTAGCAGTAGTAGTACTGTAGAAGCAGTAGTAGTACTGTAGTAGCAGCAGTAGTACTGTAGCAGCAGCAGTAGTACTGTAGTAGTAGTAGTACTGTAGTAGCAGCAGTAGTACTGTAGTAGCAGCAGTAGTAGTAGTAGTAGTAGTAGTAGTACTGTAGAAGCAGTAGTAGTACTGTAGCAGCAGCAGTAGTACTGTAGAAGCAGTAGTAGTACTGTAGTAGTAGTACTGTAGCAGTAGTAGTACTGTAGAAGCAGCAGTAGTACTGTAGTAGTAGTACTGTAGCAGCAGCAGTAGTACTGTAGTAGCATTAGTAGTACTGTAGCAGCAACAGTAGTACTGTAGTAGCAGCAGTAGTACTGTAGCAGCAGTAGTAGTACTGTAGTAGCAGCAGTAGTACTGTAGTAGCAGCAGTAGTACTGTAGCAACAGTAGTACTGTAGTAGCAGCAGTAGTACTGTAGCAGCAGTAGTAGTACTGTAGTAGCATTAGTAGTACTGTAGCAGCAACAGTAGTACTGTAGTAGCAGCAGTAGTACTGTAGTATCAGCAGTAGTACTGTAGTATCAGCAGTAGTACTGTAGCAGCAGCAGTAGTACTGTAGTAGCAGCAGTAGTACTGTAGTAGCAGCAGTAGTACTGTAGCAGCAGTAGTAGTACTGTAGTAGCAGCAGTAGTACTGTAGTAGGAGTAGTAGTACTGTAGTAGCAGCAGTAGTACTGTAGTAGAAGCAGTAGTACTGTAGTAGCAGCAGTAGTACTGTAGTTGTAGCAGCAGCAGTAGTACTGTAGTAGCAGCAGTAGTACTGTAGTAGCAGCAGTAGTACTGTAGTAGCAGCAGTAGTACTGTAGTAGCAGTAGTAGTACTGTAGTAGCAGCAGTAGTACTGTAGCAGCAGCAGTAGTACTGTAGCAGCAGCAGTAGTACTGTAGTTGTAGCAGCAGCAGTAGTACTGTAGTAGCAGTAGTAGTACTGTAGCAGCAGCAGTAGTACTGTAGTAGCAGCAGTAGTACGTAGTAGCAGCAGTAGTACTGTAGTTGTAGCAGCAGCAGTAGTACTGTAGCAGCAGCAGTAGTACTGTAGTAGCAGCAGTAGTACTGTAGTAGCAGTAGTAGTACTGTAGTAGCAGCAGTAGTAGTACTGTAGTAGCAGCAGTAGTACTGTAGTAGCAGCAGTAGTACTGTAATAGCAGCAGTAGTACTGTAGTAGGAGCAGTAGTACTGTAGTAGCAGTAGTAGTACTGTAGTAGGAGTGGCAGGGGTACTGTAGTAGCAGCAGTAGTACTGTAGTAGGAGTGGCAGGGGTACTGTAGTAGCAGCAGTAGTACTGTAGTAGTAGTACTGTAGTAGCAGCAGTAGTACTGTAGCAGCAGTAGTAGTACTGTAGTAGCAGCAGTAGTACTGTAGTAGCAGCAGTAGTACTGTAGTAGGAGTGGCAGGGGTACTGTAGTAGCAGCAGTAGTACTGTAGTAGGAGTGGCAGGGGTACTGTAGTTGTAGCAGCAGCAGTAGTACTGTAGTAGTAGTACTGTAGTAGCAGCAGTAGTACTGTAGCAGCAGTAGTAGTACTGTAGTAGCAGCAGTAGTACTGTAGTAGCAGCAGTAGTACTGTAGTAGGAGTGGCAGGGGTACTGTAACCGCAGCACCACTGTAGTAGTACTGTAGTAGTAGCAGTAACAGTAGTAGTAGTAGTAGTAGCAGCACTGTTTAGTAGTAGTGGCAGTAGTGTTGTAGTAGTAGTAGTAGTAGTAGTAGTAGTAGTAGTAGCAATAGTAGTAGTGGTAGTAGTAACAGCAGTAGTACTATATCAGTGGTAGTAGTAACAGCAGTAGTACTATATCAGTGGTAGTAGTAGTAACAGCAGTAGTACTATAGTAGTAACAGCAGTAGTACTATAGCAGTGGTAGTAGTAACAGCAGTAGTACTATAGCAGTGGTAGTAGTAACAGCAGTAGTACTATAGTAGTAACAGCAGTAGTACTATAGCAGTGGTAGTAGTAACAGCAGTAGTACTATAGCAGTGGTAGTAGTAACAGCAGTAGTACTATAGTAGTAACAGCAGTAGTACTATAGCAGTGGTAGTAGTAACAGCAGTAGTACTATAGCAGTGGTAGTAGTAACAGCAGTAGTACTATAGCAGTGGTAGTAGTAACAGCAGTAGTACTATATCAGTGGTAGTAGTAACAGCAGTAGTACTATATCAGTGGTAGTAGTAACAGCAGTAGTACTGTAGCAGTGGTAGTAGTAACAGCAGTAGTACTGTATCAGTGGTAGTAGTAACAGCAGTAGTACTGTAGCAGTGGTAGTAGTAACAGCAGTAGTACTATAGCAGTGGTAGTAGTAACAGCAGTAGTACTATAGCAGTGGTAGTAGTAACAGCAGTAGTACTATATCAGTGGTAGCAGTAACAGCAGTAGTACTATATCAGTGGTAGTAGTAACAGCAGTAGTACTATAGTAGTAACAGCAGTAGTACTATAGCAGTGGTAGTAGTAACAGCAGTAGTACTATAGCAGTGGTAGTAGTAACAGCAGTAGTACTATAGCAGTGGTAGTAGTAACAGCAGTAGTACTATATCAGTGGTAGCAGTAACAGCAGTAGTACTATAGTAGTAACAGCAGTAGTACTATAGCAGTGGTAGTAGTAACAGCAGTAGTACTATAGCAGTGGTAGTAGTAACAGCAGTAGTACTATAGCAGTGGTAGTAGTAACAGCAGTAGTACTATAGCAGTGGTAGTAGTAACAGCAGTAGTACTATAGCAGTGGTAGTAGTAACAGCAGTAGTACTATAGCAGTGGTAGTAGTAGTAACAGCAGTAGTACTATATCAGTGGTGGTAGTAGTAACAGCAGTAGTACTATATCAGTGGTAGTAGTAACAGCAGTAGTACTATAGCAGTGGTAGTAGTAACAGCAGTAGTACTATAGTAGTAACAGCAGTAGTACTATATCAGTGGTAGTAGTAACAGCAGTAGTACTATATCAGTGGTAGTAGTAACAGCAGTAGTACTAT